AGGCTGGATTTGTTGGACTGTGAAGCCATTTTGCTGTGTTGTAGTGGAGGTAGTGACTTGGTTTTTTTCGGACTGAGCAGATGTACCTGGCTCACGATTCAGGATAGCAGACATTTCTCGCTGTCGCTTCAGAGATGCTGTATTGTAGCTGTCGAGGCTTTTCAAATTTTTGTGACCGCTTAGCTGTGCAACGAAGTTTGGCTGAACGTTTCCTTTGAGAAGTCATCCAGCACTGGTCTTTCTAACGGAGTGATTAGAAACCTTCTTCTTGTTTGTGTTATTGAGTCTGGCTGCAGCAAACGCGTCTTTGTAGTCGGCTCGTTCTCAGTGCCCTTTTGTTTACGAACGGAGATGAAAAATTTGGACAGAAGAAGGTCGAGCTCTTTGGCAGGTATGTTTTCAATTGCTCTAGACTCTTTCAGTGACTCACAAAATTTCTTCCATGCGTTTAAATCGCTCTTAGTCTTGTATTGAGTGTTTTTTGATTTCTGCTCATGCAAATATTTCTCAATTTCGATTTCATCTTTGCTCGTAGCTTCCTCGGAGCGACTCAAATTTGCCAACGTTTGCTCGTTTTCTTTACCTGCTTCCTCGTGAAGGTCCACTCATTCTTCCATTTAGTATTATTAACAGGAACAAGCCAATTTTTTACAACTGTTACAACAACGTCGGTCTAGATGCCGGTCTAGATGGGAATACCTAGACCGCGGTCAAGATCGATTTTAGCAGATCAAATTCTTGAATTTGTTTGTTTCCAGTCCTTTTGAGACATGGCCATATAAAAAGACCCCATATCAATATTGAAAATATTTTATAGGAGGTGCTTTCCCATGAATTTTTCACAGAGCTAGAAAATTGTTACAGGTGGTTTTCCACAGATCTCTATGGACACAGCCCAACTGAAAAATATTGTTTTCCATTATTAAAGAATCTGAAATCCTAAGGTTTGCTGTATTTTATTCATTTTGTTCTCACCAGCCATTGGTTCTCCCATAAAATGTTTTGTTTTATGATTGGTATTTGATTCATGCTTAGCGCACTGTGATCGGTCATTGTCCATGATCTATCACAGGACAGATACATGGATGACGTCACTATAAACTTGTTTTCTCTGTTTTGTTGAAAATGGCACACATTTTTGAAAATCTTTGTGAGATTATTTCGGATTAAAGCAAGTGGAAGCCTAAAAAATAACCTTAGCAGGAGCTATCTACAAAGAAGGTAAATGGAGAAACAGGGACATAAAGAGCTCTTTACGACTTGAGAATGCTTAAATTACAAGAAATTTTCGCAACAGCTGCCATTGTGTGTCATCGCTACGAGAGACTCACTGTTTTGCAAAATGTTTTGGCCATCATTAATATTCTGCTTTGAGCAAGAGTAGATGTTGAAAAACTGTTCTAAAAAAACTTTATACAAGTAAAATAAAGACAAAAGAAGCAGAGGCGAAAATAGCACTTGAAAGTAGCGAAAATCCTCGAACAGTCACGCGGTACAAGGCAAGTATGTGTATCAGCCTTTTTCTTTTCTGAGCCTGCGGCTCGTATGCTACTTCTTTGTTTTTACCACATTTTGACGTCATCTGTGATCTATTACTGAACAGACGCATGGCAACAATGATGGAATCTATTTGTTAAATGGATGCACATGGAAAGTTTGGAGAGCACAAAAGATGCATAAGAGTTCAGCAACTCTAGCTACTTGAGTACTCTCCAAACTTCCCAAGTGCATCCATAACTTGATATATGCACAACTAAAAGCAGGAGCAGATTATTTTATAACATAGCTGGCAAAAATGGGTGTTTTTTTATTAAGTGCAAAATTCTCGTAACTTGCAAAACAATAACAAATGCTTCTTTTGGCTGGTTAAAAACACACCACAATCGTGTAGTTTTCAAGAATGAAAATTCTCTCCGTAAAACTGAGAAAGAAAATAAGCTTATTTATTCATTAACGATCAATGGAAACTAAGCAGAAACAAAGGTAAAAGAGTCTTAAAGTCCAGCTAAAGTTAAAATACTCACATGTTCATAAGACGTCATGGATTATGGTTTGGATTGACTGAAAATATGTTTATGTTTTGCTCGGCGAAAGCCAGAAAACTTGTTCTTTAGCAAAGATGACTTTCATCCTACTTTGAACTTATATTCCTTTACAAACAATGGGTACAGTCATTAAAGCTTCTTGAAAGGACCTGGCAGCAGTTGTTTTTGTGAGTAATAAATTTGTCTTGTTATTGCAAGAGAAATTTTGCTGCTTCAGTTGGATTGTTTGGCAATGAACAAAAGTGCATATAGTTTTTTGCCATAATTGAGCTTACTTTATAATATGCCTATATCTTCTAGTGTTTAAGAATATGTAAATAAGGAGGCCATTAAGCCAGGGTTTAAAATAAATTTTGTTGACATGCCCAACAATTTTTAGCTCGGTCATGTCTACATAGTTTACTGGTCATAAATTATTACCTGCCAAACAAGTCTTAGCTTAGACCAGTCAAAAGATAGTAAAAACTCACGAGTAAAAACCTGAATTTTCACAGACTTAACAGTTTCCTACACAAATAGTCATTTGCAAAAAGTTTTGCTATTTTTCTAAAATAAAAAGGTTATTATTTTCTGAAAGAAAAACATTGCAGCTATATATAAGTGGACTTCAATAGGGTAATGTCTCCCAAACAGATTCCTGAATATTTTCCAAGTGTATAGAATTTTTTTATATAGATTTAAGAAAATAAGAATGTGTGTCAAATATTAGGCTAAACAGGTTTTCGTATATAGGGGGCCTAACTGGCAAGTTTAGCCTAACAGGTTCCTAAATATCAGGTTCTTAGTCACAGCTAGGTATTTACTGTATTGGAAACATTCTACTTTGTAGTAATAGCCAAATTAGGACAAAAAATGTGCTCATAAATGCTCAAAAACTCCTTGTATTGCGAGATGGGGAAATATTATAAACAATTTTTTAGTGTGGTTTTACAAGTAATGTAAGTAACATTTCTTTACAAACAATTTGCTAGCCATGTAAAAGCAGTTATTTCAATTTTCATGCCTTAATGTTTACTGGCCTAATCTCGACTGGACATAGTACATTGACTTGCTGTAATTTTGAGCCTTGATGGTCTGATGGCTATTCTTGTCACTGTGGATTAATTGCTCAGTACCTATTAACTTAATTATGAGCCAAATATTTCATTCATCAGAGGGGACAGTGTAGTAAATGATATTTCGAGGAATATTGCCAGGCTCACCTATTTTATTCTTTAAAAAACAATTCCGCTTAAGAGCTAAAGCTGAAATCCCAAGTTTAGGCTCAGTATTGTTGTCACTTGTTTTCTTTGAATGCTAGGTGTATGCACAAGTAATGTAGGGGGCAAGGGGAAATTGTTGCCCAACTAAAGATTTTAACTTTTAATAAAAATCTTCTTAGCCATGGAAGAACATGAAAGTGAGGTCCACCAAATTGAATGTAGCATGGAATGCTCTCTTCTAGGTGAACAAGAGCAAAGTCATTCAGCAGGTACTGATATAGTTCAGATTATGGTATATTGTATTTATTAGAGAAGTTAATAGTCTACATTAAAAAACGTCTTGAATCAGATTGGCTCAGAGCAGTGCAGTTTTTAGTTAACATAGCTAGTACATAAACAAGGAAACGTAACGCAGAAGGAAGGAAATAAAATGCAAATTTCACAGAGAATGAAAAACTGTGATTGGCTAATGAAGAATAGAAACATATCAGAACCAATCAAGTACCAGAGTCTGCTGGTGGGAAGCATGTATACTCAATTTTACCCTTCTTTGCATAATTAATTGCGTTCTGTTGTCTTACCTAATTAATCTTTTCTTTTTCTTGTAACACTTTTTTTCCTTAACATTTTATTTTATGAATCTACTTGAGTATTTTTCTTTATTCATTCTTTGTGGGTTGTGTTTCATTTTATTTTTGTTACCAAGATGTTGAAATAAATAAAGGTGTGGGTGGGTGGGTGTGTGTGACATATAGGAATGTTAAAACTTCCATATATATTATTTACATGGCCTCAAAAGAGCAGCTATATAATTCATTCATTGGTCCCTTTCTCGTGTATTTCATTTAATTGTTGTTGTTGTGGTAAATATGACAAGCCATTATGTCTGTACTTAATTCTCCTCACTGGATTGTAGGAGTTTTGTTTTGTGTGCATTTGATTGTGCATATTATGGGAAAACTAACGTTAAGTGTGTATTACTTTGATTTGAACACAGTTAAAAAACATCAAACTCTTATATTTGATATCAGAGATAATTATTTTTCGGATTATAATTGATGATTAGTTGATTGGTTGGGTCACTCCGATTATTTGTTGTAGTGTATAAGGACCCAGATTTCCCTCAGTAGGGCATGGAATGCTGACTGTAGTTGTTAAGGACCACGAGTCGTGAAGGCAGAATAAAGCTAATCATTTAAGGTTCAATCCATTGTAATCTTTCATTCTTTATCGACCCTATCAGTCACAACATTTTTGATGACTGATTTATAAAATGTCAGTCAATATCAACACTTAGAAAATGATTGTCAAGCCTTGTTGTATTATCTAAGGTTTCAAAATTAGAAATATTGTGTATTTTCTTTTTGAAATCAGGTGGAGAATACTTCCAGAGATACAGCATTGTAATAATAATTACTATTGTACAGTTACACAAGCATGTAGTACAAGGATGCGAAGAAAAGAAAGTCAGTTTACAGCTTTTTCTTCAAGCAGGCTGTGGCTTGCATCTGTTAGCCCAAGAATCACAACTCTCTTACCCCTTAAGCAAGATAAAAAATGGAATCCACTAGCCCCATAGCTTATATTAGTTGTGTAGTTGGTAAATACAATAATTCATTCACTCGGAGAAGAGTTGGAAAGGGAGACTCCTGCAGTAGAAAATGGCCTCATTGAAGGGGCAAGCAACTTGCATCAAACACAGCAGCCTCTTATAGAAGGAAATAGTAGTAACCACGTAGAAGATAACCGCCTAATGGCTAGAGCAAGGGCAGTTGGTGTGGACTATAAATTTGCAAAGCCTGGTGCACTGGAAACAGAGGATGACAGGAGAAAAAGAGAGCGGCGAAACCAGAGAAGAATATCAGAACAAGAGAAAAGGTTGCGTGAAGTTGTTGGAGATCTACCACTACCTCCACCAGCAGGGCCAAGTCAGCAAGAAGATAATGCATACATTGCTATTCGTGCATTTGAGGTGGAGCAGATGACTTACACATTCAGTTTTTGTGAGGTCTGCTAGGAGAGGCGACTGGAGTGCAAAGGCACGAGAAACGTGTACTCGCTGCAGAAGAGATAAGAAGGTGCCAAAAGTTTGGTCAGGTGAGAATAATACGGATCCAATGGCTGTTCCCGAGTTTTTGTCTAACATGTCAGATGCTGATAGCCAGGCTTGCACCTACTGTGCATGTACACTTGTTGAAGCATGGAGGTATTGCCTCAAAGGGACATTGCATTGCTTTCCCACAGGCTGTGCAACAACCGGCCACTACTCTTCCACGCCTACCAGCAGAGGTGGATATCATATGCATGAGAAGACAAGGAAAAGATGATACCCATAAGGACTTAGGGTTAGAAGACACCGTGTTGAAGGAGCCCTTTGTTGGCTCAAGGACAACAATCCTGCTTATGGTGATGTTATTAATGATGGCGCCCGCATAGAGAATTTACCAGAAGATGGTGAGTTGCCCAATTTGAGAACTGTTGAGTTTTCTGAAACAGAACGGGTAGATGACCAAGGCCCGGCTCCACAGCAATTGGACACTGGGGGAAACAGATTGTACTGATGACTCTACAGTCTCTGGAGTAATTCTTCCTGAGCGTGGAGTTAACGTACAAGCACAAGTTGAAGCAACAGTAAATGAAGTTGTGTCAGAACCTAGGGAGGGTGAACCAGAAAATACACAACGAAGAGTGGAACGACCAGTGATTCCTTGGCCAACCACGGACAGGACGCCAGCGTCAGAGTTTACCACTCCATACTTTTTTACGATGGCATTTCCTTGTTTGTTTTCCTATGGAAAGAGTGATTTCCACATAAACCGGTCAGTGACATGTCCTTCACTGCATGACTGGGCAGAGCACCTCCTGTGGTACCAAGATGGGAGGTTTGCTAGGCATAAGGTGTGGAAGTTTGTTGTCCACAATATGATCATGAGGAAGCGTGCCCTGGAGCAGAGCCGGTTCTTTGTTGATCAGCAACTTGGTGACCCACACATAACTGTTGCAGACCTGCAAGAGCGACTTGCGAGAGGTGACACTTTTATGGACAAGTTGTTGTATTTTGGCGCAAATCTGCGTGGTACAGCTCAGTACTGGCACCAGAGATGCAGAGAGCTTCGTGCCCTTGTGGAGTTCATGGTCAATGAGAAGCATGGGTTGCCTTCATTTTTCATGACTGGAAGCTGTGCCGAGTTTTACTTTCCTCCTCTTAGAAGGCTACTGGAAGAATACATCTTGCAGACCAAAGGTGAAGAAGTCAACCTTGCTGAAGATAGTAATGCCTGCTTCAAGGCAGTACAAGAAAATACTCATGTAGTGGTGAGTTACTTTGACCTGCGTACCCAAGCATACCATGAGAGGTACTGAAGCCAGTATTTGGTGTCTCTAATTATTGGTACTGCTATGAGTTTGCCAAGTCCCGCGATCAAATTCCTTGGCACCAACTCAGCTGGAGGGAAGACAGGCAACCACATCAGCTATTGCATGAAACTCGTGAAGATGGTTGCGAAGAGGAAGAGTATGCAGCTAGACTTAGTCAGTGGGCGGATGAAACCTTTGCCATGACAGCATTACATCCAGCAGGCAATGATGAAGAAGGGCAGCCAAGAAAAGACCTCTGGCCACCACCTGAGGGAACAGCTGAGCCCATATCAGATGATAGGGATCCCTTAGTTGAGATGCTAATGAAAATAGCTGCAACACAAGATGCAATACTGGAGGATCATTTGCTTTTAGTAAACAGGGTTGGACTCCACAGTTGCTCTGATTACTGCGTGAGAACTCCTCCCCATCCAGAGCAAGGACTGCAGCCGAGAGAACGTTTATGTCGGATGGAGTTTGGAAGCGAGTTCCACCCAGGGAAAAAAATTCACTGTAATCCAGAAATTGTGGAGGGTCATAATGGAGCTCCCCACCTAGAGATGCCGCGTGACCATCCACGTGTGGTTCAGCATTCTCGTTATCAGTTACAATCGTGGAGGGCAAATGGGGATGTAAGCTTGATTCTTTCCCATTCCTCTCCGGACAATCCTAGCCAGATGATATCATAGCCATAATTGACTATGTCTGAGGATATGCTTGAGCAAGGTCTGTATGTATTTCCCACCCACTGTCTTGAATGGCAACGTAATAAAACGAAGCTGCTTGAGTGTAACAGACAGCCAAACCACCCAGTAGCAAAAATCAAGGCAGTTCACAATGGCAGACATGCGGTGAAGGCCGACAGTAATAGGGCAGGAGGATTGTTACCTTTACTGTATCTTTCCCGTGACAGCAAAGTCATGCTGGTGGTTAACCTAAAGGCTGATTGGGGTTTGTTCAATGGGGCGGTAGGTACAGTTGTAAACATTGTGTACAGAGATGGCCACAGACCTACTGATGATTCTGCTCCAGTACCTGATGTGGTTCTGGTGAGGTTTCCAGGATATAGGAGGCCACCGTACATTAATGAAGATCCTACAGTTGTGCCAATTGTACCAGTAAGTCGCTCCACTGATTGCGCATGCCGATGCAAGCGTCTACAGGTTCCATTGCGACTGGCATGGGGAACAACAATCCACAAATGCAAAGGGATGACTGTGGGTGCTGGAGAAGCATTCAGGTATGTAGTGGTTCACCCCGGGGACCATGGCTTTGAAGCCAGAAACCCAGAAGCTCTATTTTTGGCATTGTCAAGAGCAAAATCAGTAGGCGGGAAAGGAAGAGATCCTGATTTTGCTTTTCGTGAAGATGTATTGATAAACAATGACAGATTCAGACCCGTGGACACTCCAACTACAAGAGCTAGAGCAGTGGAGATTGAGAGACTGTATGTCTTAGGGACTCAGTGTCGGCAGAGAAGGGTGTTGGCGCCAGCATACAGGGAGGAAACCTTTCTCAGACTCATAGAGTGGGCTCAGTCTCAAAGTCTTCATTGAGACATTGATGAATTAGTTGGATTGTAAGTGTCTAATCTATTTGTTTTTAAAATACTCCATCTGGCTTTCTCATAATTAGCCTGAAAATAGCCAATGATATGATGATGTTTCATTTCAAATGAAGGGCTGAGGCCTGTTATGCTGTAATCGGTCTAGGTGACTGAGGACCTTAGTGGTCATGCATAAACAATAAGAGGACCGTTATGCTGTAATCGGTGTAGGTGACCGAGGACCTTAGTGGTGATGCATAACACATGAAAGGGCTGTTATGCTGTAATCAGTCTAGGTGACTGAGGACCTTAGTGGTCCTGCATAACAAATTAATGAAAGGAATGTTATGCTGCAATCGGTCTAGGTGACTGAGGACCTTAGTGGTCATGCATAACAAATGAAACAACTGTTGTGCTGTAATCAGTCTGGGTGACTGAGGACGTTTGTGGTCTGCATGCATAACAATGAAAGGACCGTTATGCTGCAATCAGTCTAGGTGACTGAGGACTTGAGTGGTCATGCATAACAAGTGAAGCATCATTATAAATTATCTTGTGGTATGGAGAACATGTTTGTCAGGCTTTACCATGGTAACAGTATTAAGAAACGACCCTGTTAAAGAACAGGTAAGGAGTATTAAAAGGTACTTCTGTCAGATTTGTTCTTAGCCCGGCGACACGAGTGAAGGTGGTCCCTTCATGACACCCCCGCCTTTTTGAGCGGCTATTACGAGGCGAGATCTTATAAAGATCTTCAAAAATGCCTTGTGGGACCGGGAACCCTCTTGTTTGTCCAGCAACTTGTCTTCTTTATGAGTAGGGTGACAAGACAAGTAAATATAGCAAGTAAGATAAGGAAACATTTGACAACAACTACACAGATTCTCACAATAATATGGTCAAACTAAGAAAGTACAACAACACAACTAAATGAACTACTAAACTGTAGAAACCTTCAAGAACCTGCACTTTCCCAATTAGTAAAATAGGAATCAGCTAAAATATATATAGCCTTATAGGTTGTTTTTACACTGTAGCTAAGGCAACTTATGTACTTGAATCAAGTCTATTCTTTTTTCTCTCAAACAACAATAATATATTTTATTATTCATTCAAAATATTTCCCCGATTTTGATTGGCTAAAAGCACATGTAATTCACCATAACCAGTTACTGATGACCAAATTTGGAAGAATTTTTCGTTTAATGAATAGATGACATCAAAAGTGCAGTGTTCTCGCAGGTTGAGGCACCGTGAACTGAGAAGACCTGGGGACAAGGTTGAATTGTTTTGGCTGTGAAAACAAAAATGGCGGAACATTTTACTTGTTTGATGACGACTTATTGTTTCTTGCAACTCGATGGATAAAATCTGCTATGAGGAGTACGTTTGCAGACCTGAACAGCTCTTAATCTTCTAAACAGCCATTACTGAGGTGAACTTGACATCAACGAAGGTATTAAGCATGTTTTATCTTGTTTTTAAACTAGGAATTATTTTGAATGAATAATAAAGATCTCGGAGGATCTTATCCACCTCCTTGATCTGCCTAATTCTCCATATCCTACTGAGGCTCATTCATTTATTGCTAAATAATAAGAAACGTTGTTATAGCTGGAAATTTCTTCCCAACCATATGCACTCTCATTGGTTATTTCAATGTCACCTGACACCTAACAATAACACTGTTTCCCAGCACAATCTCTGAGTGGGCAATATTGCAACAAATCTATGAAGTCAGAGGATAACAGTGTACTGTTACCCTGACTCTTTGCGTGGCCCTAGCCTGGGGAATGAACTTGCCACCTTCTGCTCTGCCATCAAGTGCTCATCTGATAAATGTCCTCCTGAGATGGTGAAAGTTGTTCACACATCTCATTATTGTGTTGTTGTGCTCATCATGTCCTTAACAGTCTGTACATAATATTTCGTTCACGGTGTGTGCAAGGAATAAAGGGACGCTAAACATTTTTGGATGCTTTCCCTAGACAAGAGACATGATTGTTTATCATAACTAAATGCTTAGAATCGACTGTCAATGGCTTATGGGCTGGATCTCTCTTTATTTACATAATTATACTTTAATAAGGGACCTGTGTTCATCAAATTCAATCCGTGGCTACAAATTGAGAGTCAATTTACGAAAATTAATTCCGAAGTTTTAACATTCCTTCTTTGTTAGTTTTTTCATCAGTGCAATGATTTCGAGTTAAGAATCCATTAAAAAGAAAGTGAAGAAACTTTCATAAACACTCAGTGTATATGTGATTTAATGTCAATGTTTTTTACAACAGGAGTTAAAATTTTATGTCCATTTCTGTCTCATATACGCCCGTATTTGAATAAACTTTAAAATATTGTTATAATAGTCTTATTACGACTGTTTAACTGTGACAATAGACGGATCGAAACGCACCAATCACTGATTACGAGTCTTCATAGCCAATAACATCACGGCTTAACTGACAGACGACCAATAACATCACGACATAATTGACCAATCAGATCAATAACCAGAGTATAACACCATCAACTGGCGTGATACAACTCACTTTGACTCTGAAGATGACTACCGCACAGGTTGTCGAAACGTCAGTCACTGTCAACAACAACAGTCCTGTTCAGGACTACGTTCACCCGGACGATCAAACTCAACCTTTTGAAATGACTCCTGGGTTCAAACCTTTCACAATAGTCTTATTATATTTATTATCATTAAAGGTGTACGACTATTAATTTTTTCAGCCTTTTACATTAAAATCTTGCATATATAAAGCCAGCTACTTATAAACCAGACCCTCCAGTTCCCCTTTGCTATTAGCCATTTCATTTGAAAATTTAGAATTTTGTATTGCTTTAACGTGCCGTGGGCCCCTGGGTTACTGTAAAATTTAAATTCAGATTTGAAAGCTTATAAGGCATATTCACTGTCATTCATTTTGTTTACAAATTGCTGATTGCATGTCCTAAAACTGTATTCGGTATGCTTCTATTGCAATAATGTAATTAATAAATGTTATTGAAAAATAAAGTAACTTTGCTTGTCAGGTTGTTTGAAAATGTGGGTTTTTTTCCTTTCTTCCCACTTTTGACTCACCCTCTCCTTACGAGGACGAGTTTAAAAAAAGCCAATTTTTTTCTAAAAACTGTGATATTAATGATCTCCATACTCCAGAATGACATTTACACATTATGATTCAGATACACGGTTATTCTCTACAAAGGAAGGCACCGCGTCACCCCCACATTCACTATCAATACTGATTAGGGTTAAGCAATGACTTGAAAAACGGTTAGCCTCTATTTACATTCTAGGGTTACAGTCGGAGGCGGTGTATGGTCACGTGATTACCCAATTTTCTTGAATGGGTAGATTACCACATTTTCTCAGCTATGGGGATCTGAAGTGCCGCGTGTGGAGCTCCATGCATTCCATTTCATTCATGTGTATACATGTACCTTTCCAAACAAAAAAGATGAAGGCCAAACCGATTCGGAAGTGAAGACAACAATGTAAATAGTGCTTCAACTATAATGCTAATCAATGCACCTTATCCATAAAACCTGATACCTTAGATAGTGTGCTGAGCACATTGTTAACTTAAAATCTAGGTATCTGTGATTATCTTATAATGGAAGTTTTCCTATGAAAAAATGAAAGCAAAGCACAAACACAAAAATGTGAGGAAAGCACAATAATAAACCACTTCAGTGAATGTTTCATCTGTAGCAAACACAACATTAATACCTGTTCGCGGTAAAAAAAAAAAAAAATGAGATAGAGACCAAAAATTAATGTGCCATGACATCAAAGTCAAAATATGCCGCCTAGTTCAACATGACTTCTCATCAACTTTGGTTGAATTTTCTAGAAGAGAAAAAAAAGGAATTTTTCTTCTTAGGGACAGTTCTTTGTTAATAATGTCAAACAAAAAAAAAGAGAGAAGGCCAAAGACTTTTTCTGAGATCACATTGACAGTGGGCACATCACACTGAAAGATTGCAGCTTAGTAATTATCGTATAAGACTAGACTCTGCTACATACATATAAAAAATAATTGTAGGCTGTACAATATTGCCCTGAACCTTCAAGATCCAAAGTGCCATGCAGCTTCTTTTATTTCTATGCAGAAAACTACCCCGCGAAGCAAAAGACTTAAGCTATAAGGTAAACTGCCAAAGCACAGTACACCTTTATGATCATAGTTATTTTTAACAAAGACACTATATACACTGCAAGTCTGATGCCATTAAGAGCAACAAAATGATGAAATTCCTTCAAACACAATAGTGACTTACAAAAAGGACTTCTTATTGTTTAAAATAATACAGTGCAAAGTAAGTGTATTTTGGTCTATTTTTGCATGATCACAACTTAAATGAGCTCTAAATCATGTGATTAACTCAGGTTAAGTACGACTTGATAAAAGTAGCACCTGTGTTTCCAGGTTTAAAATGCAACTTGCATGGAGATCATGTATAAAGTTAAACAAGTACATGTATGCCAGTAAATATCATACCTTCTTTTTTCTTGGGTTTGCCCCTTTTGTTTTTCTTCTTTCTCCTTCGTGCAGTTGGGCACTTAAATCGTTTGTGTCCATACCCCCCACAAGAAAAACAATCTAA